CCGTGGTCAAATCAGTGTGTAATTTATACTTGTGGGACATATATATTGCTATTTAAATTTGTCTAATGAGTATGGTTCACTGTATCTTTTGTTTTCATTCTAGTCAATTATATTTAGTATGAAGATGAAATGTCAATCAACATCAGTGAGGCGATGACTGAATAAAAAAGACTTGGTCGGCGAAGATGCAGCAGAAAGTGTGCACATTTGTTGGAAATGAAAAAAAATATATTCATTGTAATGACAAGAACCGTGAAATGTTGTGGAATCTCATTTGTAAAAACAAACAAACATAATTTACTAGTAATAGTTTATGTGAGTTAATTTATTGAGTTGTAAATGAATCAGTGGAAGAAATACAATGAAGATCGATACTCTGAAAAGTATGAACTGAAAAAAGCAAGCAAGAAACAGACACTTTCTCGCAGTCGCAGCTATCCACATTCGATATTATCTTCACTTTGTATTCAAATTTCACAATATAAACACAGCTATGTTGTTGTGGTCTGAAATATTCTGAATATACTCACTGACGTTTTTTCAGATGTTCGTTGTACCCGGATGCTTTTCCCATATCTCAGACCACAGGGGCTCGTTACTATGCGGGCCCTAATAGCAAGGACGTGTTCGCTATTTGGTCCCGTATCATGTCGTATAATAACGATGTCTGTGTCTCAAACAAAGTATGAGCGCACATGATGGTTCAATATATGAATAATTTCAAGAAAAACACCCCCGTCAAGCGCCTCTAACTTTCCCGAGGCTCTCAGACCAACTTCCATTAAAAAAAAAATATCCATAAGGGTGAAAACAATTCATCTTTATAAATATTTATAAATTTCACAGTTCAAACTGAAACGAGATGTTCTATTGGCTGATTGAATAACATTGGAACAGTTTCAAATGACGTCTTTGCGCACTGTGCTTGATGATTGGTTTTATTCAACTGCGATTGAAATTTATAAATATGTATTTATAAAGGTGAAGGATGTATTTTGGGGGCCAAGAGTAGTAGTCTGGGAACTCGTTCGAGCTTGACAAACCACTAGGCGTCCACGTTACCTACCAAAATGATTAAAATTAGTGCCATCTACGGCGGACTAGAACTGCTACATATATTCGGCGTTGTGAAAATGCATTGTACTAGTATTTTACGCAACGTTTTTTTCGAGGTCATCAAAGCAGTATATCTTTTTTAGTATATGAGGACCTCATTGTGGTACTATTATTTCACTCATATGGCTGAAAATCAGGCACCGACACACCAAATTGTTACAAGCAAGGTTGTTTTTGATTGGTTAAAATATCGCGACCCAGTACGGCATGTGACTTGTCGTTTCTCCTCTGGCGGCGTGACATTAATGTTCTTGGAAGGACGGATAGAATAAATGCTAAAGCTGTGCAAGTTGTATAAAACGATACACAATGCGAGATGAAATCAGAATAACATGTGTTTTCGCCGAAACACATGCCAACAGCGATTGTCCAATCAGAGTCAACATTACATTAGCGTCACACTACGTGATCTTTAACCTCACTTCCGGGTGAATCTACGAGCTTTGCAACAATATATTTATCGGTGCTGCAACGTTGTGCAACTGTTTAATAAATCATACTGGTGGATCGATATTTGTGTCTCGAAATAGTCGTTGTAAAACCTACATCATGGGAGTTCCGAAATTTTACCGATGGATAAGCGAAAGATATCCCTGTCTAAGCGAAGTTGTACGAGAGAACCAGGTACATTTGACTTTTGTTCACATGTTTTGCATTTCTGATGTTTGGTGCAACTCGTTCATATTCTGTTACTCATAGCAGCGGTATGCTAAAATGATGTTGCCAATGTTTTTACAATTGTTATTTGTTCTACCCGGTGACTTGGTTCGAGTCTCGTGAAACTGGCTACTAGACCGACAAGCGACAGCGGTCAAACCATGTGGACTCCGTTCGATATGGTTTGTCCTGGCCATCGATGGTTCCCGTACACCGTCCGGTAGCCAGTTGGCCATACACGTGAAGTATGATTACTATAAAACTGCAGACATAATTTTGAAACTGTCACCATATGCATATATTTGTACGTCACATTCCCCCACCACTAAGTGGCCTGGTGTTGGGGTACCTTATATGACGTTGTGTATAACTTGCCGTCCAGATGGTCAATATCCAAGCACATGAAATTCAATACAAAATTCCTTTTGTTTATATTTACTGGTGTGTCTGTTTATATTACAACAGGAAGTGAAATAAATGTGTTTGCATGTTTAGTGTGTCCAATTCATACATTTGTCCCACAAGTTGATTTGTCCCTATTTATATTCGTCCCAATTCATATTTGTCCCATTGCCTTTGGTTAGCCCACGCTTACTAGAAGAACTGTTAGGAAACTCTATTGTTAGATATGCTAATTACCATTGACTTCACTTTGATACATGTCCAACCACTATGATGTCATCGCTTATATTGCTATCTCCATTTGTTTTCCATGGATTGGATAGGATAGGATATTATATTTGGAACGTACACAAAAACAATGCTTGAGTAAAGTCCAACGTAAGAAACATACAGTAACACAACTAATCTAAAATAATTTTAAAATCTGAAAAACAAAATTAGCTAAAATACTACAAACATATTTGTCTACACTAGAGGAAACATTAATAAACAATTCTCCATTTGGTAAGGTTTGATAGTCAGATGAGTATTTGAACAATGTGTAGAGGAATTTTTTCCTGTGTTCTGAAGAACTGTCACAATGAAAAAAGTAGTGTTTTTCATCACCCACATCATTAGAGTCACACTTATTACATACCCTGTCAATTGTTTTTATTCCCCTGAGACGGCCTAATTCAATTGACAAGAAGTGGGCTGAAATATGAAATTTGGTTAATGCTACTCTGTGTTTTTTGTTTTTTATATCATCCAAGTATTTTTTTCAAATTTATAATCAATCACAAGTGGGAAATGACCAAGTTCACCTCTACAAGCAATATTTGATGTCTTCCTGTGTACTCCCAAAACTCTCTTACAAAACTTTATATGAAGTTTTTCTGGTAATATTTTGTCAGAGAATAGCTTTGATACAAAAACAGTACCGGTATTATCAATCTCTGATTTGCTCTTGCCAGTTCCACTAAATAGATTAGTCAGAAAACAACCCCAAACTTCTGACCCATAAAGAATAACTGGTTTAATAACAGAATCAAACAGTTTACAGGCTAGACTCACTGAATGGCATTCATTTGAATCCCAAGACATGTTATACATTTTAAATGATGCTTTGTGAGCTTTTCATACAACCTTGCTGTGGCTGCACTAAATTTCCCATTTGATTGAAAAGTGATGCCAAGGTAGTTATAAAAATTCACACATTCGAGTTGTGTTCTATTAATGTAGAATTGAAATTTGTTTTCAAGGTTTTTACCAGTGCTGCTGAAAACTATAATTTTAGATTTGTTTATGTTAACCTTTAATTTCCATTTCTGGGAGTAATTTTGAATGGCATCAATGCCCTTCTGTAGATCATCATAACTAGTAGATATCAACAGATCATCTGCATATCAAATACAGTTAAATTTCACACCATACAGATCCACTGGGTCAAAATTGTTAACAACATCACAAATACCATTGATATAAATATTAAACAACTGGGGACTTAAAGTTGCAGCCTTGTTTCACACCTCTATTAGAATCAAAGTATGGTGTAATTCCCCTATTCATTTTTATGCTATCGTGTGTATTTTTATAGATTGACTTAATCAAAGTTACCCCCAATGCCTAAATGCAGAAGTTTATATAGTAAGTCCTCACGCCAAACCGAGTCAAAGGCTTTGGAGAAGTCAATAAAGCATGAAAATAAATAGTTTTCTGTCTTTTTACGTTTGTTGTTTACATATTTTGTAATCAAGGATCTCAAAATATAAATGTTATCTGTTGTCCAATGATTTTTCTTAAAGCCAAACTGGTTATCCCTGTTTTGATTGTTTTCATGCAGATAGCTAGTTAACCTGCTGTTTAATATCATGGTATAAAGTTTGGATAAACAGCTGGAGATGGCAATGCCTCTATAATTATTGCAATCCGCTTGGTCTCCTGATTTAAAAATAGGGATAATTAAACTGCAGTTCCATAATGCAGGAAATTTGCCTGACTTTAAAACTAAACAAAATAATTTGGCAATTGAATTAATGAGATATGGTGCACCATGTTTTAACATTTCATTTGAAATCATGTCATTACCTGAGGTTTTACCTAATTTAAGTAATTTAATATGCTTATTACTTCATCACTAGAAATTTCATAATCAAGATTAATTTACATTCTCCCTCTCCAGTGTACTGACACTATTCCTAATTGTATGGGTAAAACTACTCTCATCAACATTAGATTCACTGTTTAGACTTTTAAAGTGATCTAACCAATCATTTACATTAATGTTGTCAGTGTTACTATTTATTTTGTCAACATTTCTAAGTTCTTCTAACAGTTTCCATGTGTGTCCACGAAATTGCAGAAATAGAGCTCATTAAAGGCCCTATTCACTTGCCCCAGCCAAGTGTTTATTGGAGGTGTGACCATGCTGATGAGTTCTGTTAATCACTAGCATAGCCTATGTTTGCAGAAATTTGTAGTTTATTTACAAGCTGATAGCCATGAGCATCAAAGTATAACGGGCCAGTCAGACCATGGAAGGTACTAACGGAAGGAGCCAGGAAGCTATTGTTTTAGTTTTACCCTATGATCATTTGTCAATGTTTGTTCACAAAAATTGGTTCTTGTTAGCTCTTGGCACCTACTTACAATGGGTTACGCTAATTGGTGAATTTTAATGAAAAATTGACAGATATAACATCGATTGAAGAAAAGAACTGATGATCTATCGTGTACAAGTATTGTATTCGAGGTGGAAATTTGAACACTCTGACTTGTTAGTATGGTGGAAAAACCTTATTTTTCAAAAAATAATTACTCAATTAAATCTAAATTGTGAAAAAATACTCATTTATAGTAGGCAGTACAATGATCGTACTGGCTGACGTGTAGCAGAGGACGATGCAAACCCATACTGCCTGAGTGCATACTTTGCAATATTCTCGCAATAACCTTATTCTTAGACATCTTTTTCCTGCTTATAGTTAATAATTTGAGAGAGTATGTGTTGAAATGACAATGAAAGACGTTGATTGTTGTGCTCACATTTGTGTGAGTAATGGGATTACATTTTTATCCCATGCTTTAGTGTTTCTGCATCCAATGTAAACAAAGGTTAATAGTCAAATGTGTGATGTTGATAAGCCAGAACATGTTTATAGTGGTGTTCTCACTAGATGAAATAAACTGTTGTCACATTGCCTTTTATTTGAGAACGTTGTAAAAATGTGTGTGTGAACAGAATACGCAGTTGTGTTTTTGACACCGTCGTAAAAGGGGTGGACCAGGTCCTAAACGCTGTTGTCACACTGACTCTTGCACAATGGAATGAGCCATGTGAACACAATACGACAGCTAAAAGCCCTCTATCTTATTTATGCTTGACATTACACAAGATGGCGTCTGAGGTTCAAGTCAAATTTTATAGCCAATCTCATCCCACGTTTGTAACACTATTTCTTCCCTCCAGTTATTTCTGTGTTGTCGAGTCCAAATCGCTCGGGTTGCTGAGTCTATTGTTGCGTTATTCATACACGTGAATAGCGTGAACATGAACCGATCATTTCTCAGTTTTGTTTGACGTCTTGCCCTTCGAAATCTTGATTACCGGGTAATCAATCATCGTTGCCTTCTTCTCGAGCGTAAAAACACACGAAAAAACAGAAACAAAGCAAATGCATTTACCAGAGGGGACGCCATGATGTCGATTGACCTTTCCATTTGTTTATTGACCTTTCCGTGATATGATTCGTTGAGGGCACAAAACACCGGCGTTTTTACTAAGTGAGAACACAACACACAACACACAACAAAAAAACAGTTATGTTGATGACCAAGGATATAAGGAAACATTTAAACGTTCGGATGAGTGCTAATAATTTTTAGAAAGAGTGCTATTGTTTTCAATGCTTGATATATATTGTAATAATTTGTGATATTCCCACGATAACCTAATAATATTCATTGCATATTGTATTTATTCTATTAGAATCGCATCTCAATAGAAACGCATGTAAACCTAAAATTACATTTATTGTACTGAAAACCATTTATTTTCAATGTTTTGAACATATGGTAATTTCACAAATTTGTCAAGGAGTTCTATTATTATGTTCTGTGTTCACATAGATTTAATTTAGCCAATTTTACTCGCGAAATAAAAACCCTGTGAATAATTAATGCAGTATACTGAATCATTAGAATATTAGTTTTTGTTTACCATACTAGTTAGATACACTTCTGTAATTTACTTACTGTGAAATACTTTATTTAATAGCTGGAATTAATACTCGCTGAAAAGACATTTTGTCTGTTTTGTGTGAAGTTTATGTAAAATAACAGTTCTTTCTGTCTCATCTTCCAGATTCCTGAGTTTGATAATCTTTATCTTGATATGAATGGTGTGATTCATGTGTGCTCGCATCCCAACGACGATGATCCACATTTTAGAATATCAGAAGAAAAAATATTTAAAGATATATTTCATTATATTGAGGTGAGTTCACGGCAGGTCTGGCTGCAGAGTGAAAAATAACTCTTCTGAAAGGACTGAGGTGAGTTCATAGCAGGCCTTGCCTGCAGGGTGAATAATATCTCCTAAAAGTGCTGAGGTGAGTTGAAGAAGTGGTTCCAATGTGTTGAAAAATAATTTTGCTTGGGGTGAGTTTTGTTGTTAGCTCCCCTTGGTGAAATTTAGCGTCTTCATGACTTATACATGCAGTGTACTAAACATTCATGCTGCACCACGACTAATTTGCTAATTAAAATAAGTGTTGATTGAGTCTGTTGTTTTTCTAATTGATTCTTTTTGCATTCTACATGTGTGTATAATTTTTGAAACTTTCATTACATATGTTGTTATATACATGTATACTGTTCATTGCTATTATTCCTCTATTGTCGTAAAAGTGATCTATCTATGACCCATACTAAAATAGTGTTTCTGTGGAATATTTCACTGGAAATTATTTCCTGGCACAATTTCTAGCTTGACTGTCATCCAAGATAACTAGCAACACTTATATTATAACTGTCTGTTGGTTAGTTAACTCTGGTACTGCTGTCAAAACCAACTATATAGTCAAAATACCTGTGGACAAAAAGTTATGAGATAATTTTTTGTAGGTTTAAACTTAGTACAGTTTTCTCATGCCCTGGAAAATGTGTCTGTTTGTGGATTAAACTTTTTTGAAGTTAGGTAACATTTAAAACAACCACTTTTTTTGACAGGTACTGTTCCGAATTATCAAACCTCGTAAAGTGTTTTTTATGGCTGTGGATGGGGTTGCTCCGAGAGCCAAGATGAATCAACAGAGAGGGAGACGTTTCAGGTATTGAAGTTACCATCCATGTTTTTAAGTTTTTAGCTGAATGTACTTGGTTGTGCAGTTTGCTTCTCAATTGTATCATGGGAGCTAGTTTTGTTTTTAATATGTAACTTCTAAATATATTGAACATTTTGGGTAATCCCGTCAGATGCTTGTAGATTAGCTTCTAAATGTTGCTGAAGCAATGAGAAATATACATAATCAAATTTATGAACATGTACTGTGGAATACTTTATTTTCGCTGGAATTAATTTTCGCTGAAAAGGCTTTCTGGGCATTTTGCCTGGAATTTATTTTCACTGATTTTTGATGAGATTAATGTGAAATATCGGAAAAAAAGTATATTCGCTGGATTTTATTTTCACGGAATCATCCCTTCAGCGAAAATAGCGAAAATAAATTCCAAGCGAAAATAAAGTATTCTACAGTTCGTATGCAGAGATTTTTCTAAAAGGGAGGGAGCACTGCAATTCAGCGATGCCACCAAGTGGGGGAGATAGGGTTCTCCCTACCAGGGTGTGGAGTTTTTGATAATTCTAAGTTGAAATGGCTTCCTTGGGGCCAAAATCACTATCAGACAGGTCACAGTTGAAGACTGTGGCCACTTGTGATCCCCAGTCAATCAGAATTTTATGGTTGCCAGAGGATCTGCTACCAAGGGTAAGGGGGTGCATGGCCATGGCATGAGTGTGCTGTGCCTCTGTTCTCTTGTTTAAAAAAATGCCTGTGTATGGGCAATGTAACAATGTTGAAAGCATGCTCTAGTAGAAGAAAACAAACCAAATCTATTGTAGCACTTTGTAATCAACACATTTAGTAAAGGTCATCTCAGCTGTCTGGTTTACTCAAATTCTAGTCTTGTTTTTTTTTATCCTCTCATAAATGATGGCAATATGGTTTTAGAGTTACAGTTATAGAGAATAGTGGCCCATTGTGCCAATTTTGTGCCTTTAATTGTTATAGAGAATAGTGGCCCATTGTGCCAATTTTGTGCCTTTAATTGTTATAGAGAATAGTGGCCCATTGTGCCAATTTTGTGCCTTTAATTGTTATAGAGAATAGTGGCCCATTGTGCCAATTTTGTGCCTTTAATTGTTATAGAGAATAGTGGCCCATTGTGCCAATTTTGTGCCTTTAATTGTTATAGAGAATAGTGGCCCATTGTGCCAATTTTGTGCCTTTAATTGTTATAGAGAATAGTGGCCCATTGTGCCAATTTTGTGCCTTTAATTGTTATAGAGAATAGTGGCCCATTGTGCCAATTTTGTGCCTTTAATTGTTATAGAGAATAGTGGCCCATTGTGTCAATGTTGTGCCTTTAATTGTTATAGAGAATAGTGGCCCATTGTGCCAATTTTGTGCCTTTAATTGTTATAGAGAATAGTGGCCCATTGTGTCAATTTTGTGCCTTTAATTAGTCCCCGTTCGGACGCAGTCCGAAAACGGGGACTTATGTTTTGCCCTGTGTGCGTCCGTCCGTCCGTGATCACCTGTATCTCGAACATGCATGGACCGATTAAGTTCAAACTTCACTCATACATCACACATTATATGGGACATATGCACATGCATTTTTTTCATTATCTGATTAACGATAGCCGAATAGCGGCCATTTTAAGGCCGAAAATGCATCAAAATCGCACATTTTCACCATTCCGGACCCGGATCTCAGTTATGCATGGACGGATTTTGTT